GAAGACCACCAAGAGGACAGACCAGCTCTTCACAGTGGTGCATGGTAGGAGAGTGAGCGATAATGGATATGAGAGCTTCAGACTGCAAGTACAAAAGCACTTGCACTGTGAGGACAGTCAAGTGGTGGAGCCATTGCCCACAGAGGCTATGCAATGTCCATAATACATAATACTCATTATGATGAACTGTAAATTGGTTATTGCCACTTACAAAAACAGATCTGGGTAATACTGTGATTAGTTTTATTAAAACATTCAATGCACAGCCATAGTCAAAATGTAAGCAGGAATTACTAGGATCACAACCAAATAGAAAACATTATGTTGTCTAGATTTGTGGTGATCCCACATCTCCAATTTTGCATGCAATTTTAGATTACATCATCTCAATGAAGGATAAAGCATGGTGAAGCATAATGTGGAAAGAGTGTTCTGATGTAAGAAAACTTTTCCATATGAAGGAAATTTACAAGTTTTTTGTTTGGAAAGGATATTACAGAAGACAGATAGAGGAGGTCTGTAAAATTATGAATGGCATAAAGATGTTTTAGAGAGCATTGTTCACTGTCTCTCAGAGGCATTCTTGCATTAGCAATTATATCAGCCTTCACAGATAGGGCAAAACAATAGATGCTGAGGGCCAGATGTGCACACTTGCATTTTAGGGAACAGGGGCAACTTGCTTCCAATCCCAAGGGCTGAACTCCTATTAGTGATTGAAGCATATTACTAGAACACATCAGAGCTCTTGGATCTCATCTTCTGATTTAGTTTCACCTGAAAGGAAATCAATTTATTTGCTCTAAAACTACTCCACCAGGGGACACAATGTGCAATAACTGGAGGCAATGTGAGATCTGGATCAAAAGTATGCACAGACACATGTAAGGAAAGAAAATCCTGTCAATACCATTTTAACACACTGTTCTGGGCACAGCTTCCAAAGCACTGGGGTCCTAAGCTGCCGGGTGCTGCAAGGGCACGTACAGGAAGGTATCAGTGCATATTTGCCTTTTTTCTTACAGACTTTCAGTAACAATATCTGCTGCAGCTCATTATCAGAAAGAAGAGACTGAATCAAAATGACCTTGGTACATCTGATTACCTAAGAATACTTGTTCTTAGGTAATTTAATTTTACATGAGCACTTATAATGTAAATTGTTATTATGGCTTGCATATTATTCATTTGGGCACAGTTCTAGAGTAAAATTTTCCATCTCATATCTTATATTCTTTAGTCATAGCAAAATGGGGTCAGTCAGTTTATAAAATTGGGAGAGTATTTTAAATTGTCTGTAGTCTTATTTTGAGTATTGCTAGTACCTCAACAGGAGGTTGTAAAAACTTTGGCAAGGACACACACATGCAACAGATGTGCCTATTGATGCTCTGGTGAAATTCCTTTTTGATTTGCACATTTTAGTGGGTATAAAAGTGTGATTTGCACACAACATTGTTTTTGTTATCTAGTAACAGGTTTCCACTAACAGTCTGCCAGACTGTTGGCACTGTGCATGCATATTCATATGATTTGAGTGGAAGTTCTTGTTCAGAGTATAGCAACACAGGCATGCACAAAAAAGTTGAGTAAAATATATGTTTTAACAAATACATGCCCGTGTAGAAATTATTTAGGGATTCCATTCATCAGATAAATAGGGTTACTTTTTTAAAAAGAAGCAAATACATTAGAAGTGATGTGAAGCTCTTTCAGCTTTTCTGTTTCATAATTCAGAGCCCTACTCCATGTTGCTGTACAGTTTTTGAGGAATTCTACAGCTCTCAGTTTTTATCTGCAGATGGCTAGAATCAGATGCAGAGACATGGCTTATTTCCATTCTAGCTGGAGAGACAGACATCTGAAGGTATTTTCCTTGTCAGAATTTGTTAAAGGCGGTAGTCACAGTATGGATCATAGAGTCTGCAGTAACCTTTGTGCATGATCATACAGGGTTTCTAAATCTGATCCTTGGTTTCAGTACTGTACACAAGATTATTTGGTAACACACTTCAGGGAAAAGAAACAGTTCTTATTCTTTTTAGCCTCTGTTAAGTCCTAGAATTCAGTTTACATAATAGTTGTACTATTGACATTTTCAGCTGAAGCTTAATCAGTTTGCAGATAGTAAAAAAGAAGCTATTTCAACAACAGAATTTAAATCTATTCCACATAACTGCCTGACAACTTTGAATAGCTTTACTCACACTCAGGGAAGCCACAGGGATTACACATGATGTATAGTAAACAGTTTCTGATTGTATACATACTTATAATACAGCACCAACAATTTTTCTATGGCTTCCTACAGGAAGAGCAATTAGAGAATAGCCAACTTCCTATACTGAAACTGCTGTTCTTGAATGTAGAATTATTACATTACAAAGTTTAATCTGTGATAAACTCAGTGCAGGTTTGCCTAAGGTGAGTTGCACAGACATACAAAGCAAGGATAATATTTGTCCAAATGTCAAAACTAATGTAGCTACATGTTTGCATAATAACCTGATTATTCCTGTTGATCCCAAAACAGCCTCTAGCATTTTGTGTTATATTTACTTTCAGTATAGAAATAAGTAAGAAGAAAGCGCAGGTAACAGTCTTGACTGAGACCTTCCAGAGAGAATAATACACACTGTAAAAGGCAAGGTGAATGATACAGCATTAGTGATAACATTTAATGCCATTTGCAAATTAAATTTAGAAAGTAGAATGTAGCAATGTAGATTGAGGTTTCTACTTGACAATAATGTTTAAAAGTGTTAGAAAAGAAATTTTAAAATGCAGATTTTAAATTGAGGTAAGTTTTTAAATGAGGGTTTTTCAAGTAAATTACATCTTGGCAGAGGGATATTTAAAGAGTAACTTTTTCAGAATTTTGTTTTTGAATTACTAATGTTATTTTTCAGTAATCAAATATACTGTTTTGAATTAATGTAATTTTAAATTAACATAATCTAAAACATAACATAAATAACAAGGAGATCCATATCACACTTTAAACAGATCTTCAGTATCTTTAAGCAGACGTTTAGCTCATACACTTGCATAAAATTTTGTGATCTTATAATCGAAAGCTCTTTAGAAGCAAATCCCAGGAATTCTTTACTTTTTTTTTCCTACATGCAGTACATCATATTTAGCCATGGGGCAAGTCTTAACCCACTTGGAGTCACTGAAAACCATCATAAAATACCATCACCCTCTCAACTAGCATGAAGATTTCATGTATAGTTTCCAAAATAAGATAAATAATGTTGGAGAGATTCTGATGTATGCTAATCTAGAAACTTAGTATCTGTACGTGATAAAGTGATACAAATTGTCATTAAAACTAAAAAATAAGAAGAAATGCAATGATGTCATAATATCTAACTGTCCAAAGGAAGACTTCCTGTGTCTCAATAGTCTAGTCAAATTTCTAAATAAAGCAGTCATTAAATGAATACAGGAATAGCAGTTTACCTATGTAATTTAGAGTCAAAAGGTCTTTGATGAACTATCTTAAAAAGGATACCAAAGAGAGAAAATACTTTTCTTTGGAAGGCATGGAAACAAGTGTGCTGTAAAAGTTCTGGGCAAAATATTAATTCAGAAAAAAATACAGAGAAACAGTCAATATCCACCACTGATAATGGAAAAATACTGAAATTCCAGCAAAGTTCTGTATTAAGACACTTTTTAAAAAAGTATTTCTCAATTACCTTAAATAAGACCTGAGAATCTTAAAATGAAAATTACTGGCATGTGAACACCAATTATAGACAATTATTTGTATTAGTCAAAACGAGAAGACTGAAGAACTTCAAGGAGGCTTAATTAAGGTGGACTAGAAGACAGCACGATCGTAAATTAAAACTGAAGAGCACATGCTGAGTCACACTGGTGTGCAGTGGTGCACACTGAAAGAGACACTTCCTGACCGCCTTGGGACTCCAAAAGCTATGATGTCAGTGCAGAGGAGAAGAGTCTGGGCAGCTCAGTAAAGACCTGTTTTCCGAAATCAAAGAATGCATCATAAAGATTCAGTTACCTGAAAACGGAACAAAAATCCAGACCAGTATGTCTGCTTTCCCTCCTTGTCCTTCATCGGAGCAGGACAGATCTCCCACCTTTGCAGCATAGCTCCCAGCCTCTTTCCTGTCCCACAACCTGCTAACACAGCTGCACAGACTCTTCTTTAACCTCATATCTTGACATATACAAGAACTATGTTCCTACAGTACTTCTCTTACTACAAAGAGAGGTCAGGGGAGGAATAAAGAGGAAGGACCTTTTGTCAGGACCCCACACTCAAGCCATTCTTGGAGTTACAGGATTTTTACTTCCACTTGAAAGGCTGTGTTTGCATCTGCCTATATATTTTTAAGGTATTATCAGCATAGAAACAGTAGTTCAAAAATTGCATTGTAACCTAATATGTATCATACAGAGACATAATATTAAAGCAAGCAGGATTTATTTAGAAGAGTGTTTTGAAAAAAAAAAATTCGAATACTAGAATTAGGAATTAAAATGTATTTGCACTGTTGAACTAAGTGTGTACACATACGGATGTGTCTCAATTACTGAAGAATTCAGCTGAGTAGGTTTAGGGAATCCAGAGATTAGTTACTGAAGAGATTAATTACAATATATAGAGCCTTTCACTTCTAGACCACTGAATCAAATTCAGTGGAAGAAGACTCCAAAAGAGAGATTTCATATATCTGGGTAACATAGGCAGGTATCATTGTTTTACTTTATTAGAGAGTAACAAATCCAAACAAACAAATGTAATATTTTCTAGACATGGGAAACAGAGTTACTTCTTAAATCTCAAAATCAAGTCCACAGAGAGCTTCTCATCCAACAAAGTGAGGAAACATGGCAGTGAGGTCTGAGATTTCCTGCTTCCATCTGTCCTGTAAATAACTGAGGGAAGGAGGGTTAATTTTTTTTTTTTTCCCCCCAATCTGATTGGTTTTATAAAGATTTTTACCTCCTAGTCTGTTTTTCAGCAGGTTTTCAAAGACGCTCAGCTACTGTAACAAGGAGGCATTTTCCACATGCTGCTCACAGGATGGACTACATGGACTTTGAGGATGATAGCCGTGGATGGCGGTTTGATATGGACATGGTGATAATCTACATTTATTCAGTCAACTGGGTAATAGGATTTATTGTGTTCTGTTTTCTTTGTTATTTCTTTTTCCCTTTTTAGTCTGTAGTAATCACAGTTAAGGAGAACAGAAGTCATGTGAACCACAATAATGTGAATGGAAAAAAATTGAAGAAGGCAAACTGATACGGTATTTTTATCAGTCAGAATTGTAATGGACTGCATCAAGCATGCTGTGAGGCTATTTGATACTTCTGCTATGTGTGACAAAGTACTTGAGTTTGGTTCCAAATATAATGTGAAATCCAGATGATACTTCATTCAGTGGGAGTTTGGCCTTGATTTTAGTAGCAACAGGATTTACCCCTAATGTATAAAATAATTACTCTGTAGAAATATAGAATACTGCTTGTTCTTAGGGGAGTTCTGTGTACTACAACAGAATATGATCCACGGAGTGATTTTGGGGCTTGACTCATGTTGACAAAGTTTTCTTATTCATTGGTGCTTCAATTCCTCACACATAAAATCAATAAAGATGCTTCCCATTTGTAGTCAGATCTTTTGGGAACAGGAGATTATAATCACTGTGGTGCTGCTGCATGCATTATATAGACATTCAGTAGAGCTATTTCAAAGGTATTAATCCAAATCCTGGAAAATTTTGATAATTGATACCTGTCATCATTCTACTGTGGAGATGTGCTGTACACAGTGCCTGAAAGTTTGAGCCTATTAACCAGAAAGAGAAATGATACTGCACAGTGTGCTGACAGTTCATCTTTTCAGCAAATGGCAGTTAGAAGAAGTCGACTAGCAACCCCAAGTTCCACATATTAAAGGGACTGGTTTTGTGCAGATTCCCAGCGTAGCACTGTACCTTTTTTTTTACCCATCCAGATGAGTCTGTTTGCATCCAGCAAGACAGCTAATGGAAGGCAAGCAGCAGGCCTGCTGGCTGTGATGCTGTGAGACACTAACCCCAGTAAATATTGGAGAATGAAGCATTCTCCAGTGTAAGAAATCAGTATCATTATTAAATTGCGGTAGCGATTTGAAGATACTCTCAAGTGTGGGCTCACCAGGACTATGTGTCTCCAGGGAGATCATGTAAGAGAACATAGTATTTATTTGCACCTTTCATATGAAACAATTCTAAAGCACTTTATAGTTATTCTATATATAGATTGCTGAGTTACAGTACCAAACTGCAGCCAGTTCAGCAATCATTCCATACTTGCTGCTTTACACAGCATTTTCAAATGAAAGAGCATCTATTAAATTATAAAAAAAGATACTAGAAACTGTTGCAGGAATCAGGTGCTGCAGAACGGTACGAGGTAGTTCAAGGGCTTACTTTCCAGGAACGAACAAGGAAGTTTTTATTTATAAGGGCATGACCCTGGAAAGTACACTGGTTTCATCTAGAAGAGTATGTGAGTATATGTATGTAGTCCCTCTGGTATCAGGATTTGTGTGGGAGACCTGTGGTTTTTCAGTAGGTGGTGTACTCCCCTGTTCTAGCAAAGAACAAGGAAAAATGTGTTGTGGAAGGTGCCATCTGCCAAATATGATAGAGTGGAATGAATTCAGGGGTTTTATTAAGCATGTGCTTATGCTTCTTTACCAGAGCAAGGCCAGTATGGTCAGCCTCTTACAGTCTATAAAGTGATCAGGACCAGAAACTTTCGCTTAATGTGAAAAACAACAGTAAATCAGCTACTAATATTTAGTTTTCTTACAAGCTGCATAAAATAAACTCTGTTTAAATATATGTGTAGAATTAAAAATTACAAGTCTAACTACACTGATTGGACTAAATAACTTTTGCCATCTTTTTTTAATATACGCAAATTTAAGGAGATACAGTTATTGAAATTCACCATCACCATGTAGTCGTGGCTGTGACAGAAATGCATTTTCAGCAATTACAGTATATCTAGTTGTTTTGTCTCTCCCTAAAGGTGATTGATGCTATTACTGGTGGCATTAGGCATAATGTTTTCAAAACTTTTCAGTTTGTAGTAAAGCACTTGGTGAATTTCCATTTTTGTATTGATACAAACAAGTCTTTTAAAAGCTAGGGGTTTTAGGTCATAGGCTTATGTTTTGCTACATGAAGATGTGTAGGTCTGTATGCTCAAATATTATCAATATTTTTAAACATTTTTCTCATCTATGCCAGGACTGGGATTCTAACTGAAATTTTTGTTATGTGTCTAATCTTATGAATTTACTTGCTCCTATCTCAGCAAAGAGAGGGACTGATTCACCTTCTGATCTCAGAAAATACTAAAATAAAAAAGATGTCAGGAAAAATTAACTTAGCTGACATAGTTTGAAATTCCAGTAATAATGTAATTTAAAATTATTTAACTAGGATAGCTGATAAAGCAATATCCTTAAGTGAATATTCCAAAATATACTGAGACATCAGAAACATACTATAGGTACTAACTAATTATATAAGAAAAAGTTACTTACATCATTTTTAATAGCATGTTGCCATGGTTTTATTCTGAAAAAGGCAACAAGAGAGAGTAAAAAACCCAGTGTAATGTTATCCCCTTTTGTACATTTATAGCAAGAATTGATGGCTGAGGTGGCTGCATTTTCCTAAATTTAGCAGGAGTGACAATTTTGTATGGCATTTCTAACGGCGTAACTCTACCTTTCATTGAGGCCTAAACAATAAACTGTTTCTTGGGCTATATTAATTTACTTCATATTGGTTGTTATTAATTCCAGGGAACAGTTAGTTTAAAGGATTACAAATGTACATAATAAAAACTGTTGCAACTCTGAGAGACATCCTCCACAGGAAAACACCTAAAAAGCCTAGAGTGGAGGCACTTTTTTTTTTTGTCCTATATTGCCTTTTTGAGATACATACTTTTGTAAAAATACAGTAACAATCCAAACGCTCAAATTTGGTTTTCCTTGAAAACCTGTAAAATGCTGTTGACATCTATGAGAGCAAGAGCAGGTCCTTTGTAAGCAATTTTCTGATTGAATTGACCCTGTTCTGCCAGGTTGTCTTTCTTATCTACAATAGTATTAGAATGCTTGCAATAAAATTTGAATTGTTTGTAATATTTTGCAGTCATTTCACTAGATTTTGCTTGATGGAATTAAATTTTAATATATTTTTCAATCAGTGTCTTGTTTGTCATCCTGTCTATTCTGTTTCTGCTTGGGGTGCAGCTAGAATTTGTTGAATTTTTTTACTACTGTGGTTAACTCTTTTCATACTAGCAGCCTTTTCTTTGTTTTAGTACTTTTCAGGAAACAGTCAGCTTTTGTCAGAAATCATCTTGGAACAATATATGGATCTTAACACATTCTGATAATGAAGAATACTTTGTGCTGGTGCTGTTAGTCCAGACTGATTAACTGTTGAAGGCAGCAGAAATCCATGACAAGACTAAGTTTGTCACTGACAGGCAAAGGGACTTTTTGCACACTCAGTAGTGTATGAGTTTCTTGCCTAGCAGTAGGTATGTTTGTAGCCCTTCTACCTGCCAAAGGTCCAGTCATCTTGCTTCCATCACACAATTTAAAAAAAAAAAAAAATCCCAAGCAATAGCTGAACAGGGAGTAGCTAGTGTGAAGCACCATGGATTCTTGCACAGCTGTGTACCTGCCCACAGAAGCTGACGTCTAAGATAAGCCTTTACCAGTACACTGCATACACACCTGAAATATTCACCATATGTCAACAACAGCATTACCAGTTTCTGATATTGAGATGGAAAAGGATGATGAAGAAGCAGAGTTTAGGGTTTTTTTGTTGTTGTTATTCTTAGAGAAAAGTAGTGCTTGATAACATGAAACTCTGGGAGGAAGAGAAGCTATTGTAGCTATCAAGTGACAAGTAGCTGTTTTGATGATGTACAGTGTTTATTTTGTGGATGTGTCTTTTGTTCTCAGCAATCCTGACCACTTCATAACTGTGGGAAGCACAGTCGCCTCTGGGGAATCCCAGGTCTGTGCAAGGGGAGTCGCAGGTGGACAGAAAAGGCGAAGATGGGACACCAAGAGCATTCTGCTGGTGTCCAGCCCTGCACCCAGGAAGATGCTGAGAGAAAGGAGGCAAGATATGCTGTGGCTTGCTCTGGGCTAGATGTAGAGCAAGAAAACAAGCTCTCCTTAGAGATGCCCTTTATTTAGCAGAAAGTGCTGAGACAGACAATGAGGTAGATTTAAAACTGGCTGTACAGCCAAGCTCGGCGGGTTTTGACCAGTGTCATGAAGTCTACCTGGAGGCAAGTAACTAGTGCTGTACGCCAGGGTCCAAAACTGGGTCCTGTTCTGTTCATCATCCTCATTAATGATCTGGATGATGAGACAGAGCATAACCTCAACCAGTTTCAGAGGACAGACCTGGGAGAAGTGGCTGATATGTCAGAGAGTCCAGTGGGACCTTGACAGGCTAGAGAAATGGACTGAAAGGGACCTCATGCAGTTCCACAAGCAGAAGAGCAAAGTCTTACACCTGGAAACAGCCCCATGCCCCAGTACATGCTAGGGGTCACCCAGCTGGAAAACAGCTCTGCAGAAAAGAACCTGGAGGTCCTGGTGAACACCAAGTTGAATGTGAGCCACCAGTGCTGACAATTGCTTGTGTCAAGAAGGCTAATGCTATCCTGGGATGCATTAGGTGGAGTGTGGCCAGCAGTTTAAGGGAAACTGTCCTTCCCCTCTACTCAGCTCTGGTGAGGCCACGCCTGGAGTGCTGTGTCCAGTGCTGGGCTCCCCTGTACAACAGAGATACAGAGCTACTAGAGAGAGTCAAACAAATGGCCATTAAGATGATTAAGGGACTGGAGCATCTCTCATATGAATGATTCTGTGAAGTCATCACTCAACACTTATCAGGCTGAGGACTAGAAAAAGTGGATCCTTCAATAATGGGCAAATAAACCAGAAAGTTCTGAGTGGACCATCATGGTGTCCTTCAATAACACAAGGCAGTACAATGCTGGAAGAACTTGGCCCATATTTATGTCCATTTTTGTTCTTTCCTATACATATCTGTAATTCTCTGGCTGGAACAATTTTTTTATTTTTCTCTCACTGATGTCTTGAGTCAATGCAGCCAATCTCTGGGTACCAATTCAAACTTTAAGGGGTTATCTTTTTTCCTACTTACTGAAATCTGTTGTTGCAGTCCTCCGTAAAGTTCAGAAGAATACTTCAGTAAGAATCACAAGAAATCTAGTTGTATTATTCCAGTACGAGTCATCTTACTGTCAGAAGTAGTTATTCAGAATTTATTATTTAAACTTTTTAATTATTATTTAAATTTCAGAGTCTAAAATCTGAATTTTTAGAGGTAAGTGTTTGAATTCAAATTTCCAAAAGCACCTCCTAATTTTGGGTGCCTCAGTTTAGCATTCCTGATAAGACACCTTCCTTCTAAAGGGACCTGATGCAGAACTGAAGGTCACCTTTCTTCAGATCAGGTTCTTTAGGATTTCTTATGTTGGGAGCCAAAGCCTGATAAACCTTAAATACACCTATTTATGATGGACTTCAGCAATGATCCAGATCCCAGCAGAATCAATGCAAGCCATCATTGTAAAGATTTAGTTTTATATATAACTGCTACGGAATTTTTGTCTTACAAACTTTTTTCATCACTGTAAAACATATTCTGATGGAATTTCTGAAATGAGTTTTCAGAATTTCTTGTGGCACAAGCAAGTTCAAATTTTATGTTTACTTACATTTGATTACTCTATGACTAAAAGTAAACTAAACCTCCAGTGTCAAACATGTTATGATTTTTTTGTTGCTGTGATGTAATCTTGGAAAATATATACTATCAAAATTAACTTAAAATATAACTTAGTTAAAATGACAAGTTAAAAGTAACTGAATAATAATCTACTTCATTCTTCATCAAACATTTTCTTCAGTTGAAATATTTCTACATTTCCAGTAAGACATTAAAATATAATCCTATTAGAAAGTACTTTCTATTGTTATTCTGTGGAAATTTAAACATATAAGGTAATCTTTAATTTAGGACATTTCACTTTTATTATATTTTTACAATGATTTCTTATTTAAAAAAAAAGAAAAACTTGCTAAAAGACTGAGAGCATATGTAATCCCATATTGTGATTTCACTAAAATTATTTTATTAGAGACAGATCCTACAGGACAAACTTCATCTCTGATACACACTGGAGAAAATGTGCTAAATTAAGCTGACAGATTTGATCTGAGGAATGCTCCTGGGCAGGTCAGCAGGTTGGCACTGTAGAACAAAAAGCTCAGGGCACACTTCTCAGGGAAAGGCTCCCAGCAGGCCAAAGTTACACAGGAGACCAAATGGCTTTCCTCGCTCTGTGAATGCTGCGCAGGGCACCCTACATGGGGGGATACACCGTCTCCACTGGCACTTCAGGGTCAGATTTCCTCCTCTCATGCACAGGTGTCCCATGCAAGTCCTTGGGAGTTATCCAGGGCATCTGATGGCAGACACTGATTTTCCTTTTCTTCTTCATTTAAACATTCCTGAATATTGCTGGTTTTCTTAAGGACTTTTGCTTGACCTGTGGCTGCTGAACCCTACCCAAAGGAGGCATGATGTGTTATTATTTTTCATTAATTTTTGCCCTTTGGGTCTACCCTTCCATTCCAATCAGTTGATGTGCTGAGGCAGGACATAGACCCCTGGAACTCTGAACTTATATCCAGGTAAGAATCTGTGGCCTAATTTATTTTGCAGCCTTTAATGAAAATTGTGGCAAACGTAAACAGATAGAACATATATAAACCTGCCAAAGAAGTTCACAAAGCACTTTGTAGCACTAGATATAAACAAAACCGCAAGGATGTTTCAAAGTGACTTTTGGGTCCTGGTATAGAAGTTATCTACAAAAGGATTCTAGGAGCCAGAGCATGGCATAAAATTTGGAAGAACTCCTTCAGCTTCATGCCCTGAACATTCCAATACTAATTTACAAGTGAAATAAAACTGTTCCCATGATTTCTAGATTGATGTTACAATACAAGTGATACATATCAACGTTATATTGTATTAGTGATGGCTTATTTAAACTTACAGTTTGGTTTTAGGATGAGAAGACTGCAGTAATTATACTCTGACTTTTCACTAGATATCATTTTGAATTAATAATAATCTACTTCATTTGCTATCAAACATTTTCCATCAAACATTTTCAAAATTCAGTTGAGATATTTCTACATTTCCAGTAAGGCATTAAAATGTAATCAGGCAATCACTTAAAATATACTCCACATGTAATCTTTTATCCTCAAACAAGACAGTGAAGCAGAAAAAGTAAACGCCACCAATAAAAAGATCATGGTAAGTCATTTGATATTGATACAAGCATTAAAAATTAATTATTTAAAATCATTTTTACTCTGTCATAAAAAAAAAAGCATTATAATGCCAATCATATAATGTACTCCACTGTTTCTGAGCTGAAGAATGAAATTCAGACTGAGCAGAAAGGAAATCTGGTGTAGCCTCACTGTATTACCTGTATAAAACAAAGAATGTTAGATATTGACATAAAAACCTAGATTACCATCCTGTTCAATGAAAAGTGAAAAATAATACTTTAAAGAATCCTATTTAATCCCAATCTCCCTAAAATAATCCTGGTTTTGGGGGTATTAACTCTTCATGTAACTAGTTTGCTAGCCAGGAAATATTTAGCCTTCTAATCAAAGTGGGAAAATAACTACAATTCACAAAAGCCTGTCCTTAATCCATGCAGATTATAAATCCTTGGGGATGTACATGATTTCAGAATTCATTACCAGTCATAGCATGGCATCTGATGGTGCCTGAAAGACAGGGCGTTCCAATTAGAAACATATGAGGTAAAAATGTGTTTGCCTTGCAGATGGCTCTAGCTAGCTAATGTATGCATTTCAGCTGCCAGAAGTTAAACTAGTTCTAAAATAATTTGAATTAGACTTCAGGGGAAAAAGATTATGCTAATTTTCTTTTATCAAGCAGAGAATGTTTGGAAGAAGTTAATGTTACAGGGAATTTATACCCTATCTGGTTCCATCTTAAAGAACTGGACCCCACATTTTATCTTTTTAAAGAGTTGTGAATTAAATG